CCCTCCTCTCCTGGCTGTACACGTGACTGCTGGCCTCGCTCACTTGCTGTACACAACGCTCTATACTCTGGCTGTGCGAGGGCCAGGCAGGGACATGCATGGGGTTGTCCAGGAAAGCTCTGACTTGAACATTGGTGAGGCTGCAGGTAAGAGGGCTCACTGCCAGCCTGGATGTTAACCAGATCTATGAGATCAGTGAGGGTCTTGGCACCTAGATTGACTTCAGGAGTCTTCCTGACCCTGAAGGAATCGTCACCAACTGATGCGTCATGCCCAGATCCTCTCATAAGTCTCATATCCAAGATCTTTTTGACTGCCACTCTTCTCTCCTCCTCATCCTTACTGCAGAGCATTGTCTGCAGAACTGCCTCTGGATAGGCATACCAGGAAGATCTCCTCACAGTCTGCTCCACAATCTGAACAACCTTCCTTGGCTGACTCCACAGGAGCTCAAGCTGGAAGAGAACATGCCTCGGACCTTCGGAGAACGATGACTTGACCTTGGTGTTGAACCAATTTGGCAAGTAGACACTCACGATGAATTGGACAATAAGTCTCAGGTTGTGAAGCTGGTTCCCTTTCAGTTTATGATGAGCGACTCAAATTCTGCAGAACCTGAGAGCCGTTGTGAGCCACCTAGAATGTGAGACTGGACCTATCTGCAGGTAAGCAAGTCTATCAGGCATGACCCCTGTTTTGATGGCACTGCAAATCATGTAACCATAGTACTGGTCAGTACTCAGGTCGTCAATGACAGTATGTGCAAGCTCAACGAGTGGAGGGCCAACTGTGATTTTTTCAAAGCTCGGATTTATTTCTAACTCAGTGGCAGAGTCCAGCATCTTGCCAAGAGGACCAGACCATCTGTTGTTTGAAAGAGTCTTGCCATCCAGCTCCTGGATCAGATGTCTGAGTGGCAACTCGTTGGTGTGGAGGTCACAAACAATCCAGACCAGCTTCCTCCCAATCTTCCGCTCTATCCACTGTATGACCCCCCCTTGCCACCCTGTGTTCGTGTTGGTGCTGTCCTCCAATGGCCTGCAGGGTCTGGTCTACGTTCCTCTCTGAGCCAGTTCACAATGTTATCTGCCACTATCTCAGCTGGTTTCCTGATGTCATCTTTCTCTGGAGTGAAATGCCACAAATACTTCCCTCCTGGTTCACTGCAGCAGGAGTAGTGTTCCTCCTTCACCATGGCAGGGGAGAACAACTTGTCAGAATCTCCAACTTTCATGAACACTTTAGTGTCATCCTTCTCCCATCAAAGAACAAACAATTGATTCCATTTTCTCTTATCCCTTATCAAACTCCTCTTCTAGGTTACTGACAAGTTTCTCCTGAGCTCTCCTTACTTTGTTATGATCTATCACCAGGTGAACATCATCAGGTGTTATCAAACCACCGTCAATCCAGGCAGCTGTTGCTATCTCTGCAGTTTCTCTGAGACCAGTGTGGTGTCGCATGCTGGCCAGAGCTATGCTCGGGATATCTTTCCTATTTCGAATGTTATGCCTGGAAGTTTGGGATCATTATTTTCTGGGTTAGGGACAAAGTCACCATTCTCTGGTCAGCACTCGGATCAGCCATGGGGAAGTCATTAAACTCTGAATCAGCTTGACTCCAATCATCGGCCTTTTTTACCTCACCCTGGGCCTTCTCAAGTCTCTTTTCCTCGGCAACTCTTCTCCTCTTCTGTCTCTCTGTGGCAGCCTCCTGTCTCTTGGACTCCGGAATATCTTGGCTAGAAATCATGAGAGCCACTATACTGCCAGTCTTCTCTCTCTGTGCTTTGACAAATGCCAGTTCGATCACAGGAATCTTCAGTTCACGCTTGCAAATACAGGAGATGTGGGCCTCGGATTTACAGTCACGATCGCATCCAAACTCAGGACAGAGAACAATTGGGCACTTGCAAGTGATTATGTCAAATAACTGGTCCAGTTGCTTGGCAAAGCTGTCCTTAACTGCAAGTTTTCCTCTCCCAAAGAGATATCTCTTGCCTTTTCCCAACTGGCTAGCAGTCTCTCACTAATCTTCTTCTGACTTGTTATGACTGGAGGCTTGAACTGAGCGTTAGCCAGAGTGTACTGTGCCAAGACAGCTTTGGTCATATCACTGGCAATGTCTTTGTTTGTGTAAGTTCTTTGGTTCTTTTCACTGATTTGCCTGATTAAAACACCGTATCTCAAAGCATCTCTCAATGTAGGCAACTCCGACTTCAGGAGCTCTCTCCCAGACCCAAGATAGTGACTGAGATGGCTGGATTTTTGGTTCCTCGTCCTGACACAAGCAGCCATCGCAAATATTATCAACTTATAAATGCATCAGAATCTGAAACAGAAAAAAATATTGTTAGTTGGGTTGTTAAAGCAATGTTCACTATTTAATTGTAATGCACTAATGCAGCTGTACGTTAGATTTTCGATAAATTTCACGCTAAAATTTACCTAGCAAAAGGTTGCAAAATATTGAAACAAATTATTTTCTGTTTATATACACTAAAATCTACCAAAAAAGTGATGGGCCATTAGTTTTAGCTGATCTTCCCTCCTATGACACACCCTAATGAGCAGCGTACTTTATTTAAACTTACATCACATAACAGCTTTGACACCTCACCTCACAGCATTACATTTATTTTTTGCTGTGTACTGTACTGTATATTAAAAATAGATTATTTCATGTGGCAGCCAAGGCAAGGCACAAAACTAAACAAACCGAATGAATAATCAAACACAAAATTCTTATATTGTTGAATATTCAAAATATTCCCAACTTACCGGTAGTTAATTTGAGTGACCCAGAGCCCCCTTTTTGTCGAATTAATAAGAGTATAGTGTACAGTGATATGCCAAGTTGAAGATCATTAAGACAGTCCCCTACTTCTAGAAATACAACTGTAATCACCTCTATATTATGACTCATCTCTTTGGGAGTGGTAGTAATGCAGCAGTTTATGTAAGTAAACAATAAACCTCCATATACCCTATACCTATTTTCTATTTAATTTTCTTTTAATAATTACTTATGCTATGTCATATTGATTTTCTAGCAGCTCAGAGTGTTTTAGAGTTAGCGTGAAGTGTATAACTATTGGGGCGAGGTTAAGGGAGTGGTAGCTCCCCTAAGACCTTGACCACTCATGGTTCGGCAAATCGCTGGTTCGATGTTGCTGAAAAATCGGTGGTTAACCTAAATCTTAGGAAAATAAAAAGCTTTATACTGTTTGCTATCAATATATTGGATACAGTACAGATAAGTCTCACTTCATTAATATTGGAAAATCAATACAGGCAATGACCGTTGTTTGATGGGGTTAGGGACCTCAAAAGGCAATTGCTGAGCGACTGATCACATATGTATTGATATTACTGTAATAACTTATGGAGAAAAATAGGTTCGGTTCCTGACCCCCTGAAGAGCCCTAACAAGTTTGGTATCCTGTGCTATAATGATTAAACAATGTCTTAACTCAAATAATTCATAAATACACACATATAAAATCAATAAATTTATGCATGAACGTGAGTGTACTCGGCAGGTCGCCAAGTTAGATGTCACTGTAGCTACATTGCCTTACCTCTCCTCCTCCTAGGCGAAGCAGTGTTTTTGTTATCTTTCAACTTGTAATTTCGAGTAAATATGCAAATCTTATTCATTTTCTTTTACTCTGTTACATGAATGCACAATTGTTCATACAGAATGTGCAAAAAATATAAAATAAAAGAGTATCATAAGGTTAAAAGCAAAGACATTAAAAACAGTTCTTACATCCGCAATACAGTAAGTCCTCGCTTAACATTGCCCCCGACAACGTTGTTTCGTTATAATGTCGCTACTCTTTAGATACCCATGATTCGGACAACGTCCCGCTGATTCAGTATAACGTCTTCAGGGACTATGTACAGCGCATCACCCTCTCTCATCTTGGCGTGCTATGCTCTCCCCCAGAGCGTCACAGCGTCCCCAGTCTTTGTTAGGCTTCCACAGCATTCGTGTGTTTAAGTGTTTTTGCTCTAAATATTGTACTGTAACCATTCGAAATGGCTTCCAAGCGCCCATCAAGAACTAGTGATGCTAGTGTTGTGAAGAAGCAACGTAAGACCATTGGCCTTGGAGGCCTTAAACCGTTTTGAGAAAGGTAAATGTGCAGTGGACATTGGTGTTGTGCTAGGTCTAACCCCCACAACAGTGTGTACTATCCGGACCAGCACAAACAAGATTAAGGCTAGTGCTGGAAGTGGTACTTCCATGAGTATAATACAGTAATATCTCCGTTAGCCGGAACAATTAGTGCAGAGCACTTCTGGGAATGAGAGATTTCCGGGTAATGAAACGATTCTCACAAAGCCGGAAAAAATCCCTCATCCCCGGAAGTTTCCGGGAAACGGAAAAATGTTCTCAGAAGTTCCAGTAATTGCCCATTACATCATCTCTCGAACCCAGAAAAATGTTCTCAGAAGTTCCAGAAATTGCCCATTACATCATCTCTTGAACCCGGAAAAAAGTCCTCATTCTCGGAATTTTCTGGGTAACAGAAAAATTTTCTCGGAGTTTCCAGAAAATGCGTCCCTCAGAAAATCGTTCTCAAAGCCGTAATTTTCCAGAAAATTCCGGCTTTGGGAACGATTTTCCGAGAAAATTTCAATTCAGGCTACCAGAGAATTCCGGCTAATTTATGTATTTTATGGGGCAAAGGAAGGCTGGGGAAAGTAACTCCCGTATTTTATTTATTTCTTATGGGGAAGATGGACTCCGTTAAAGTCGCGGTTTTCAGAAACGGAACCACAACTTAAAACGAGGACTTACTGTAGTTAGTGTGTGATTGTGGAAGAGGAGTGTTGGTGATGATGGTGGTAGTGAATGTTGGTGGTGATGAATGTTAGTGGTGATGATGAGTGTTGGTGGTGAATGTTAGTGGTGGTGATGAGTGTTGGCGGTGAATGTTAGTGGTGATGAGTGTTGGAGGTGGTGAGTGTTGGTGGTGATGGTAGTGGTAGTGGTGGTAGTGAGTGTTGGTGGTGATGATGAGTGTTGGTGGTGATTGTTTGTGGTAATGGGGAGTGTTGACCGTGAGTGTTGGTAGGGAGTTTTGGTAGTAGTTGGTGGTGGTGGGGAGTTTTGGTGGTGATGATGAGTGTTGGTGGTGATAATGAGTGTTGGTGGTGAGTTATGGTGTTAAGCCATTCCGACATTGCGTCATCATATCTTGGAATATTGCGAGTTATAGCATATTACTTTTTCATAGCAATGACAGTGCAGGAAAACCATTCGGGGAGCAACCATTGTAAAACTGATCTTTAGCTATTATATAGTGGTAAATGGTGTTAATTTTCTCACATTGTAAAACTGATCAAGCTTCACTATGCATATATTTTACAAAGAACTGTTAGAGGATACTAATAAGCTATTGATTAAAGTTATATGCCTCAAAGCAAAGCATCAATTCATATTCCTTTTGAAATAACTGCTTTAAAGGCTTTTGAAGAATTATTGTTGAACTAACTATTGGAATCTTGAACTGATCCACAGAAACTAATGTACAGTAAGCCAAATCTTAAATGTTGCATCAGGCATAAGAGTAATTTTTCTACCTAACCAGAGGATCAAATAGTTGAGCATTATGTTGGATACTTCTTGCTTTTTCATTTCATCTGCATATGGTGTCTGAAGCAGCCAATTTCAATATTACTTATGTAATATCTAATTTTAATGACCTTTAACATGCATATAAGTAACAAGACCTGATCTATATGGTGATCATGCCAATGGTCAAGTGAACATACACGCTAACTGGTATATATCTAAAGGCCCCCACAGACAGTCGAGCATGACTGACAATCATTGGCATTGCGCAATCATTGGTTATGGTCACACACCTATAAGGAGATTGCACAATCTTCAGTCAGTGTGTGGCATGGCTAGACAACACGAGTGCTGAGGCTGCATGCATAGCTATTATCCTTGCTCTGGAAATATAAGAGCCAAAGAAATAAGAAGGAAATTGTGGATGAATAAGTGGCATAAGAAAAGACCCAAGTTTTCTTGTGAAACCCTTCTATAGGAGGTGGTAATATCATCCCCTGCAGACTATTACAACTTCCTGCATATGGACCATGAAACTTTCATTAATTTGTTGGAAATAATTATGCCTTCGATAAAGAAGAACACACTGATGAGAGATACAATTTCAGTCTTTTGAGGACTTGAATTTCTCCACAGAGTCTTGGATATAAAATTATGGACACGTGTACTGCCATCACATCTATGCTGAATGACAGTATGCATTGAGTTCAATTTCTTTGATCTTTTCCACTAACTTGTTACAGCATTCAACTTTCACAACTCTGTTCTTGTAAATATCAAATTTATCTTTCCACAATGATGGAAAGCCTCTATATAGTTCAATGAACTCACCAAAATTCTTGTGTACCACGTACACTTGCCATGACTGCTAGTACTGTACAAGACTGACCACGATTGTTCAACCACTGCCACACACCACCTGACATTTGCGCAAGCCTTCAATCATACCCACACATGATGGAAATGAATGCACAATCACAAAGATTGTCAGTCTGTGGGGCCTTTAAGCTCAACTACCAACATTTATTTTTCTAATAAATAACATCTCCATCATTTATTCAATTCTCTAGAAGTGAATTGTGGAAGACACATGTTATAGAATGAGGATTCGTTGAAATCGGATAGAGGCTGCCACTTTACCCAGTCACTGGCCTGGAGTGCTGCTGCCTCTGTAGCTTCACCCCAAAAGTGAGGATCCTGCCAATGGAATATAATAGAAATTTACCTAACATGAAATATATTATGAAGCATTGCTAGGGTTGCCTCAAAATTTAAACAAAAATAAATTCCCTGACTGAATTCTGACATATTCCTGACTATTTAAAGGAGACTAAATAAGTTGGATTTGATGTTTTGTATGAATTTGTACATTGGTTGCCACTCTGGTGAAGCCATGTGTTATGTGGTAGGGGAGGTTTGTTTTGTTATCAAACATTTTATTTAAAATCAGAGGTACTATAGAGTTTCATATGACCCCGGTCACACTTTCAGCTTAGCTGGAGGAAATCCAAATGTACAAGAGTTCACCAGCTCTCAGAAAATGAGCTGGAGGTTGGAGGAAACCCCTGTTTGATTGGAGGATGGAGGAAAAATGCATAAGTGTGATAGCCCATTAAGGCTCAGCTAAATGAGAATTTGGTTTAATAGGCTTAGTCATTAGTACAACAATTAATTGAACACACTTCTATTTGTGGAATGGGGCTAATCACGCTTTGTCACTGGTTGAGTGGCCAGCCAGAAAATTGCACTTATAGATTCATTTTCTATACTTTGAGGTGAAATCAGTGGTAAGCTAACCCAGCCAGTCTAGACAGTGAGCCAAATTAGTGGCACTTGTTTTCTGGGTGTGGTCCATATCACCTGTATACCTGTACTTGTGCTGTCTATAGCATTCTTTCGTCACTCAGAAAGAATTATGGATTCTAAACATGTGTGAGGCCATTAAAATGTCTCAAAACAAATGCAAAAGTGAAAGTGCTGAGTGCAGTACCTGTAATGCCAAAAGAAAACCAATTGCTTGGTATTAAAGAAAAGGAGGAAATTCTCCAAATACTTGATGAGGGTCAGGTAGCAAGTAAACTCCATGACTAGTATGATGTAGTAACCACAACAATTTATGACAAAGAGCAATACTGTTGTATTTTGTTTTCATATAAAAATTAAAGAGAAAATAAGGAAAACTGAGCTATCTGGGTGCTTACTAATCTGACTGGGAGAGCGTGGTTGAGTGGATGACTGACATGTTTACATTGTTTATCTATCTATCACGAAGATTGTAATTACAGCAGTTGGTGACCATTTAGAGAACACATACTACAAATTAATTAAACCACCCTTAATGAAGAAATATTGAAATGAAAAAAACATATGAAAAATAAAGGAGAGGAAAGAATGTCATGTGCTGTACTATCTAGCGACCCGTATTGTAGTGGTCAGCATGCTCACCTCACAAGCGAGTAGATCTGGGTTCGATTCAGTGCAGGGTGAAACTATGAGCAAGTCTCTTTATGCTATTTTCCTCTGTCTACCCAACAGCAATTGGGGACCTGGATATTAATCGATTTGCAGATCATGTTTCGGGGTAATGGTTAGCCAGTGCAGTTGACATTGGGTCATTCAAATTGTTAACTTAGGGGGGTGGTGTTGTGTTGTGTTGGCAATAGCTTCTACACCTTAAACAAATTCACACCTAGGTGGTCTTACAGCTGGCCATCCTTGAAAATGAATAGCAACCATTATTAAATGCTTTATGAAAACAAGAGCATGAGCCAAAAATTAGTTGAAAGTAGGTATTATAACTATAGCACTGAGAGGAACTCTATAAATACAAGATTTGAGATGGAAAAATTATTTTGGGAATATTCAAGACAATATACTGTATTACATTTACATAGATGACACAAAATGCCTGATACTGAAACTCAACCATTAAACTTGAATCATATACACTATATATACTCATTCATATAATGCCTAGAAAGTACAGTACACTGGTATTCGTACCCGTAAACTTTTAAGAAAACAATCTGTTCCTCAGTTCATAGAACACAAAATATGTTAGATATTCAAGTGGCATTATCAACCAAAATTTCCTTGTTGTTATTCTTAACATTCTATCTAACCAAACAGATAATAATACAGAAGAGCTAAAATTAACTCACCACAACAAGAAGGTAATTTTGAGTAGAGCTCCTGCAAACACCCATAATTCCTTTGGATGATACATCAGTGTCCCCTCCCATCATGACAGGGGATCCTCTGCTCTTGAAGTGGTCAACCAGGGTGAGTATATGATCAGACAATTCTTTACCACTATTTACATGGATTATTTTGCAGGGTACATCATACAGGGTGTCTACAACATGACAAACCTGTAAAAAAATTTAGGGTCAATAAATAATAAAATCACCATCTAATCCTTATTTGTCTGATTAATGATATTCTTTTCACTAAAGTCTTTTTCATGTTCAACCCCTTCACTACAGGGACACCACATTTAACATTTAAATTAAGCTAATGCTAGACAATTTTATTCAGCTCAAAGGAGACCCCATGCAGGTTAGCCGGAAACATGAATAAATAAATGCACAAATTGTCCTATCATTCATTCATTCTTAATACAGTACAGTAAAAAAAAAAAAAATCCTCCTATGATACAGTATAGTCTGCATTTATGCAGATTTTGTTTACGCGTTTGATCATTTACGCGGTGCCTTGCCAGAATGTAAATGCTTGAATTATGCGGTAAATTTGGTCATTTACGTGGAAAGCGGCACGGGCAGGGTGCGCACAAGGTCGTCCAGTCATCAAAACATTACCGAGTTCTTCACCCGCCACAGCCAGCCCAAGTCAGTGATAGTGAGGATATGGACTTTGAGGGGTTTGACAAAGAGGCCCTGCAAGCCTCTGTGGTGGATAGTGATACAATTGATACAGGTGGGGGCCAATAATCTGCCCTCTGCCTTGGAACCTGTGGGAGACCCAGGTGATACTTCCAATCAGGGGTGAAGGAAACACACTGATGTCAAGTTCGTAAGTTCTATTTCTGGGACAAACACACAAAAGGAGTTAAGACAGGGGGAACAGCGTCCTGCCTTGGAATCTCTCCCGGTATCTCTCTCTGCACATGCGCGTACAGCGCGCATGTGCCCAAAGCCTGAACTAACACAGTGACAAAAGGGAGTATGATTATAAAACATATAATACAGAGACCTGAATCAATAATGGTAAATAGTACAGTTACATATTACAGCCATATTCGTCTCATATATCTACAGAACCGACCCCCCATCCCCATGTGCCCAGCCATCTTTTCTACTAACGTAAGTGTTAAAAACCTAATATTATTGATATTTCTCTTAAATATTAATTGTGTGCGCACACCATCATAAAATTAAGGTGTTATTTTTACTACAACGTACATACTGTGTCGGAAAAAGTGGAGTCTGGGAGTTGGCCCAGTCTCTATTTCAATTAATCCCATATGTTGTTATTTTGTTTACATGTTTCTCGTTTTACGCGGACCTCCACGGGTTCAATTGACCGCGTAAATGCAGTCTATACTGTATTTCCTCTCTACAACATTTACCCATTGCTGCAAACAAACCAATGTCATTCATCTGTAGACACCATATTTCCCACTCATTCATTGTACACAACTGCTTACAGAACATTACCCCCCCTTATTTCTAATGCATCTTTTTATTACCTCCTTGCCTTCCCATCTCCCTCATACTATCCACCTCCAACTCACACACAGTAAAATCTCACCATATTGGACACTTGATATATCAGATGCTGTACTGCATAGGTACAGGGTATTACTGTAGCACAGTACGTATATACTATATTTAAACACTAGAGTAGTAACAATACTGTGCAGGTTTAACATGTACAGTCAACCCTCACTTTACGCGGTCCCACATTCCACGTTTACGCGGTACCCTGCCGGAACCCAGGATGCTCACATTCCGCGGTGCGTGTACCCCTTTACGCAGAGAGTGTCCGGCTCGACGCTATTTTTAGATTCGCCCCACCTGCCTGCTCCCGCCTCCGCCTGGGCAAGCCGGGCGGTAAGGTTGCGCAGTGCATGTCTCTGTTGCGTTATCAGTGACGTCATATGATGTATCGGACTGTGATTGGCCATGCATCCCTACCTCCCTCCGCTGCTAGCTGTAATTGGTTTAAAGTAATATGACGTGTCCATCCGGGGAGGGATGGAGGGAGGAAAGACGACGCTTGACCTAGCCGTGGCAGTTTCATCCCTCCAGGCCACACCGTGTAATCGTGCATCCATTGTTCTGTAAAATGGCTTCCGCCGGACCACCGCCCCCAGAGAGAAACCTTTCCTTGCCTGGACCCAGCCGCCTTAAGCCCAAGAAGACACGACATTCCTTAAGCTACGAGGTGAAGTACAAGATCATCCAAGAGTTAGAGAAAGAAACAAGACAGGTTGATTTGGCGCGCCAGCATGGTGTGAACGAATCTACGATCCGGACGATAAAGAAGGATGCAGCCAAAATAAAGGAGCACATGAAGATCACAAAGTCTACAGGTGCTTCTATGATCAAGTATTTCCACAACCAGGTGCTTCTCAAGACGGAAAAATTACTTGTGAGCTACTTGGTGTGTCAGGTGCGACGGAACATGGCGGTCGACACGCGCTCTGTTAAGGACTACGCACGTGAACTGTACATTGCAGTGGCACGAAAGATGGGAATTACAGAGCCCAAACCCTTTAATGCTTCCTCTTGGTGGTTACAGAGGTTTAAGATGCAGAACAAGATCACCAATATAAACATTGGTGGTGAAGAAGCTAGTGCCGACTGTGCTGCGGCTCGGGAATTTCCTCCGTTTTTACGTGAGATTATGGAGGAAGGACAGTACACCGACGACCAGGTGTTTAACATGGACGAATCTGGTCCTTTTTGGAAAAAGCTACCTTCCAAGACCTTCGTTGTGAAGAATGCCAGCAAGATTCGGGGCCGGAAGTTGCAGAAGGAGCGCATCACCGTCCTGTTTACCACCAATGCCTCCGGTATCTGTAAGCTCAAGTTATCGGTGATCCACACAGCCCGCAAGCCGCACGCCTACAAGAGCATGGACATGACCAAGCTAAATGTCCACTGGCTGACCGCACATAAGGCGTGGATGTTCTCTGCACTGTCCCTCTCCTGGTTTGATGACTGTTTCGTTCCCGATGTGAAGAAATTCTGTGAGCAACAGAATGTGCCATTCAAGATTTTGTTGCTGCTGGACAACGCACCAGGACACTCGCCCCTACTGTTAGATCGTCACCCCAACGTAAAAGTGGTCTTCTTTCCTCCCAACACTACGTCTATATTACAGCTCATGGACCAAGAGTTAATCTGTAATGCAAACGCTGCATTCTCAACAAAAAAATTCCAGCTCCTGAACGACTACACCAACACCAGGAAAGAGTTGCGTAACCTGAGTGACACCACCACCGATAGCAAGAGCGAAGACGACGAGGATCAACAGTTGGTAGAGCAAAAAATACTTTTCAAACAATTCTGGAGAATATTCAACATCAAGAAAGCTGTGGACTTCTTGGTGGAGGCATGGGATCAGCTGTCTGTAGCAACTGTTCGTCACGCATGGAGACATGTGTTGCAAGGCATTCCGGGTGTTCGGCAGAGTCAATCTGTGACTGGTGAGGTTCAGACTGTTGCAGTAGCAGTGGACCTTGCCAGAGAAGCTGCGCAGTGTGTTACAGCTGCAGGCTTCTCCGAGACCACCAACGACGACATCCTGGAGGTGATAAGGGATCCTGATGTGACTACCGACGAGATGGTAGATGATGATGACGTCAGTGAAGAGGCAAGTGGTGCGTCATCCCAAGAAGAACACCGCTTATCCCATAGTAATGTTAGGGGTGCCATCGAGTGTATCGAGAAAGTCAAGCTCCTCCTTTCCGATGACCCTGACGCAAACAGGTATGAAATCTTCACTACCCAGCTGTTGCAGACTATGGAGCCCTACTTCAAGGTTTATCCCGACAACATAAACACCAGCCGTCAGAAAAGCATAACAGAGTTCTTCGCCCGCAACCCACCACAGCCAGCCCAAGCCAGTGATAGTGACAGAGGTAGAGACAGTGAAGATGACTTTGAGGGATTTGTCAGGGAGGCCCTGACAAGTGTGGATGAGTGATGGTGACTCACCTGAGGGCCAGTAGCCTGCCCTCTGCCTCGGAAGCAGCCTCCATCCCCGTATGCCGACCCATCTCTTCTACTAACGTAAGTGTTCAACCTAACTTTTAGTTTTCCTAACCTAACCTTTATTTTTCCTAACTTAACCTTTATTTTTCCTGACCTAACCTCTTCTATATTAATTGTTTGTGCATACCATCATAAAGTTAAGATAAAATTTTTACTACAACATAGTTGTGTATCGTCAAAAAGTGGAGTTTGGGGGTCGGCCCGGTCTCTATTTCAATTAATCCCATATGTTATGTTGTTCACTTTACGCGTTTCTCACTTTCCGCGGTACCCTGTGGGTTATATTAACCGCGTAAAGTGAGGGTTGACTGTAGTATCCAATTATCTCTGGACTGTAACTAAGTCGGTTTTCAAGCTTTTTTTTTTCTTTTCTTTTTTTTTCAGAAAGAAAAAACAAAAAAACATAAGGCCTCTTGTAAAAGAAAATAAAAACGAGAAAACATGAAATTCAATAAATCTTATTAGTGTACAGTACTACAATATAAGGTAAATAAAAGGATATTTTTACAGTAAACATAATATTGGTTAGGCATGATATAAATAGAAAAAAAATACATGTCCTCCTTACAACAGGTTGGTATCAAGGGAGCTTGGAAGAGTCAAGTAAGCGTGGCGCGTGTTTAACTCAGTGGGGTGAGGTTGGTAATAGAAAGTACTGTAAAAACACTGACTGACAGGTAGTATGAGGTACAGGACACTTGCTTTATTATGTTATTGATATTTACACTATTTTTAATAATTATTACTGCCTCCAGTAATTAATCACAATCTTGTTGATGGTTTGGGGATTAGGGGGGCAGAGACACGTGAAGTCGAGTGGTGAGATCCCTACATAGCAAAAGCTGAGAAGCTACTGTGAGGCTTGCATGTGTGAGGGAATGAAAGATAAATCTTCTTGATGACAGTATTCAGGATTAGGTCTGGGGTTCAGACCTGATCCTGAATAATGTCATCAAGAAGATTATTCCTAATCCCCACCCTACCTCAACTCAGGTCATGTGATCTGATTCCTTTGTTCTATGTCTTTCTCCCTTGCTTTGTTCTGTTACCAACTCTAAGGTTTTGTCTTTTATTTCTCCAAAGTGGGTTTTTACTTCACTTACCAGTGTAACCATTACACTTTCAGAATA